GAAAAATACATTTAAAGTAAGAAACTACTTGATTATTTATGTCGTAATTTAATCTTTCTACCCTTTCATTGTGGACAGACGACCCAACAATGACGGGGTTATTTGTTTCTCCTCTTTCTGCAAACATTTTTTCCCAAACACCTTGATTTTCACCACCATGATCCGACCTCACTCGTATAGGCAAACCGTACCGGTCAACCGCTGACTCAAATAATCTGGACACAGTTTCAGCAGTGTTATTGTCACTACAATGCAGGTAAGTAATCAATCGGGAAAATCCATCGATGCCGGCATGTATGACAAACTTCCACCTAATCATTTTGTGTGTCCCGTCTATATGCCAGAGGTAGTTCGGGCATGGAACAGAATAAATTCGTCTGGTTATAGTTCTAGTTCGTCTTCTCTGTACCCCGGTTGGGTCGACAGCTTGTAATGCTTTCCGAAGGCGTGCGCGTTGAACTCTGATACCTCTTGATCTGAGATGACCCATGAGATACACCTGTATCAGACTTAAAAAAAAAATGGAGACATTAAAATTTGGCATAAACGTTGACAATGTAACATGTATTTATATGTATTTATAAGGTAAGGCTATCGGTCCGGCTATTTGAAGAGGCAAACTCGATGTGATATTGACAGAAACGTTATTATTATTAATATTATTATTAGTATTATTATTATTATTATTATTATTATTATTATTATTATTATTATTATTATTATTATTATTAATATTATTATTATCATCGTCATCATCATCATCATCATTATTATTATTATTATTATTATTATCATTATTTGTTCATGTATTTGGTGGCGTCAGCAGAAGCTTCAGTTTAGAGGGCAAGGTGCGGGAAAAACCTGGTATTTATCATAATCGTATATTTTCAGTTATTTAATAAACGCAAACTACACTTTCTTATGAACCTACTTTTTCCTTTTAAGTATCAATTTTCCATAAAATTCAGTATTTTATTAATTCACCTTAAATTAACAGTAATTAGATTTTACATTACTTTTTTTACCAAGGCCCCATGAAAAAAATTATTAGTTTATCACCCTATATTTCCCATCCCGCCCCCATTTTTCCAATGTTCACAAGTAAATCAATGGTTAGGGTCACATTTATCATAAAAAGTCATAAGAGTGGAATCAACTTTATATTTAAAAAAATATGTTTTTACCAGTACTCTAAACATTTTTGCAAGAAATCCTGAGATTTTCAAGTGAAAACAGAGGAAAAAAACGATCGTTTTGAAATAAAAAAAATATATTAATTGAAAATAAAAATCAGGGGGTGATAAGCTAATAATTTTTTTGTTATAGGCCTAATGACCTTCTGTTTCAAAAAGCAGGCCAACTTATTGTATATTTCATTCATACTTTAAACAAATTTGTCGTGTAGCTGTTTTTTGATACATTGATTAATGTTAATTAATAAAAATATTGTTGCTGCATCTCAAAAGTCCAAAAAAAAAAACCCCGTATATGTCCCTTTTTTTTTTTTTTCTTTTTTTTTTTTTTACAAAACAAAAGCATTCAATTGTCTGGCACCTCACGATTTATGTCTTTGTTAGGTTTAACCTAAACAATAAACTGACCTCGCCTGCATTAGGGTGAGACTTCTTAATTTCATCGACAACCATTTCTAGTTCTTGATTAGTGATATCTGTATACTTAGAAGGTTCATGGCCATTAAGGTTGAGATGTCTGTAAACTGTTGTACGACTCACTCCAAAATCCCTTGCTATATCTGCTATGGTAAATTGGAGTTTTATCATTTCCTTTGCACGTTCAATGTCGAATTCGATTCCGGGTCTCCCTGCCATCTTCTGCAAAAAATATTCAACATATTCTATTATGCTTTTTAAATATTTCTGACTTTAAAGTTTTTCCACCAAAAAACAAAATTGTTGGAATTGGGGTAGGGGGTTCGTATTTGCATTTCTCCATTTCACCCTAAAATTTTAATTTCGAAAATAGTGAGGTGAGGCGTAGACACCTTCTCCCCCTCCTGCATCCTGATAGCCTTCAAACGATAATAGAAAAATGCACTTTTTTAACAAGGTCAGGCTCAAAATCATCTTTCGTTCTTTCGATTTTTTTTATTACTGTTAAAAGCCCGCAGTACTGATACAATAATCAAATGAGTAATAGTGTAATAATTAAAAAAAAAAACATAACAATTAACTAGCACTTCGGTTAAACATGATAATACACGTACTTTATGCATTAACAATGTTCCAATAACGTACTTACCGGTGGGCATCCAGACACGTGGTGGTTTAACTTTAGCCCAAATCAGAGATTACTGTTACAGTACTATATAATCTCAGCCCAAATGAGGCTCTTAAAATGAAGAGGTCTTAATGTTGAAACAGATCGGAGCAACTGACACCGTAGTAGAAACGTTATGCGGAAACTATGGTACTTTTGAAGGTTACAAGTAGCGTTGCTATGGAGATGCGGTTAAGATGATTCCTGGTATGGTAATAATTCAACCAGCAGTTAGAAACAATGTTATATTTTGTGTTGTAGTGGTAGTAGTAGTAGGTGGAGTAGCCATTCTTACGAAACGTACAATACGGTAAATATAAGAGAATTCTGGCAAACGGATATCTACGTTAGCGAATGATTTAAAGTAGTCTAGAAGTATTTACACACATACACTGACTGGTCATGCTGTACATATACAAGTGTTAATAAATATTCATGATAATTCATTTGGATATCATCATCATGTTGGAATGCAGGACAGTTCTGGGGTCTGCATCTTAGCGTCAATCAATTATACTAAGCTATGAAGAATACTTTCTTCACCTTTATACTGGCAACTGTTCACTATTAACCCTATGTAATAACATATGGGAATAGGGAAATCAGAGCATATCATAACACGTATCTTAACAAACAACTTCACTAATAATAATAATAATTTGATAGTTTAATTAAATTATATCCCATGCCTGACCGACACAAAAACCGCATAAAATAAAATGAAAGGGGTGGGGTTAGAAACAGTTTGTTTATTATACCTTCATTAACGAGTTATATGATTAGGCAATTTATCAGCTGTCCCTGTATTTAGGTCAAATGTAACAATTGAATGTACTGTACTATATTACTATGCTTTCAAAATCTGACTAACGTCACAAGGATTTTCATTGAGGTCTATTTTTTTCCTTTTGTCACTAAATGTTAAATCGCTATGCTTCCAATTTCAAGAGGTTCTGTGGCGATATTTACATTCTTGAGCAGTGGTGCGCATTGAGAAAAAGGATGTTTAGAAACCTTTCGTTTCGGAACCTTTAAATTGAAGCTCGACCACGACCACATATTGCTTTGGTGGGAAAACATCTGACCTCTCGTAGTAGGCTTCGCCCCAGTAAATAAAAAAAAAATCACATTAAAAATTTTAGGGTTTTCAAAGGCTTGTTTAATCCATTTTAGAGTCTACTAATATGTAGTAAATACATTTATTTTTTTTTCTCCCTGACGAATTGTGCTTTTTCTTCCAGACGGGGGTGGGGGCAACACTTCTCCCTCCCCCGCTGGTGCCACCCCTGTTTAATGTATATAAGTTGTGTGGTCAAGGTATCGTTCTCCAGTCACAAACCATATAATTGAGAGGATTGATTAGCAGGCCTACACAAATACAGTTTTACTGATACCAGGGAGTTGTTATAACAACTCCCTGATACATAACATAGATACAAATTTTAGTCTATATTTAAGTCGGACCTCAAATTTTAATTACATGTGACATAGTATTATGAAATTAAAACTGATTAGAATTAGAAGTTTATGTGACATTATTAGGGGTCCGAGTGTTTGTCTATTTGACCAAAAAATAAGTGCTGACAATATATGTACAAGGCGGTAGAAGCATTACTGGTTGGTACGACAAGAGGGTAATCAGGAGCGGATCCAATATTTTGTTGAAGAGGGACCTCTTCACCTTGCTAAGGCCCTGGACACTTGAAGTCAACTCAATGAAATAACAACTTAAAATAGCTCCGTCCTTGCTTTTTTTTTGGTTATTCTTCTGAGGGTGCTATTACTGTTCTTACATAGTAAAAAGAAAGCTGGATGTTGCACACATAACAAAATAATTAATGAAAAATTAATTTAAAAAAAATTATTTATTTATCAATTATTAATATTGTTATACTTCCGTCTTTTAATAAAATATCACCCTTGCTATTTGATAAATTTGATTTCGGTCATGAGTTTAACATTTTACCGTACTGTACTAGGTCTGTACTATTATATAGGTAGATTGTTATTGTTTAGTCTTATTAATTATATAAAAAGAGTAATTATATCATAATTACCGTTTTCTTATCATGTTTGAGTGAGCCTCATTATGAATTGTAATCATTTTACACAAAGAACCATTATACACTGACTCGGAAATTTGTTATCATGTTCGAATGAGCTCCAGTATGAAGGGTAATAATTTTACACCAAAACAATATACCCTGACTCGTATTTGTTAATACAGTAGGCCTACATTAAAAAAGACAACAGGGAGCACTCTGAGACATTTTCTTTTGATGTACATAAATTTATTGATTAGTCACATACGGACAAAAACTAAAAGTGTTGGTCAAAAGTACAAACAAGGCAATAACGGTATCTTAAGGGCTTTTATCATACAAAATCAATATACAACAAGAATGATCAAATGAAATAGATTAGGTCTTGAATGTGCAATGAAAGCATTTCATTTTAACACAATCGAAGCCAACCGTCAACCATAAACTAAGAAGTTGTTTAATAGTCCATAGAACCAGCCTGTAATGATACTTTGATTTTCATCATGATCATATAGTACAATATTGTAATGTAAGCAATTTTTGATAGAAGGTACCGTATGACTTATTGTAGTACAGTGTCAAGAACACATGTTTGCAGTCACTGTTGCACTTCAGACTGGTTTGTTGTAGCTTTAACGCGAACGAACATTAACTCTTTGGTTCAACTTGCGCTTTCTTGTGTTTACATATTTACATATTTTTACTCAGCCTCAATTTCATATTTTTACATTATCACAACGCACATACCTCACTGTGGAATTTCTTAAATAAACCTGAAGCTATTTTCTACACAAATGGATTCATGTTGTACAAAATAAAGGTAGATTACAGAAAATGAACACTATTTTATGTACTATCCAACGCGTAAGAATAGCACACAGGCTTTCTGATTCTCGGGTCGGATTAGTGGGCTCTGAGATTCAACTTAAAGAATAATGTACGGCCAAATGCTTTGCACTAGATGGTTAACAATCGATTTCTTTTTATATTCGGTTTACTGAAACTACAATACAGTATTGAAGATAATAATAATTGATTTATTAATTTTAATAAAAAAAGACGATTTAAAAAAAAAAAGGTTTGATGTTCTATATCCAAGACAAAGTTGAAACATATTCAAGTTTAAAAAAATTAATTAAAACAAGTTATATTACACAACACCAAACCCAAAGCTGTTTCTAATGGCATATACCATTAACGATGAGAACTCGTCTGCTGTCGTGTGCCCCCTGGGTAGCACAATACTAAAAGCACAAGTGGATGCGACAGGAAGCATGTCATCCGAAAACGTGATTTTCGGTTGGACGTGATAGCCTCCTAGTACCGGACGTCTTGAACCCGTGAAGAATTCAAGAAAATCGCCTAGTGAGAGACTGTCAACATCAGCATCTGAAAAAAAGAGTTATGAAAAGTAGAAACTAAAGTATAGATATACTGGCTTGTCAAAAAATATGGCGATAACTGAATAAGATATGTGTTAAAAGATGTAATTATTAAATTTAAAAATACGTACAGACCTAAAGTGTAACATCGACAATCGTGTTCCCTATATATTACGGGAGGGAAAAAAGGAGTGGGCGTAGGGCTTCGCATGACCGGCCTGTTTTCAACTTTTCTGATGACAATTTCTTAACAAATTTGGTATTTCTTAACAATGTAAGAACTTAAGACAACCTACCATTAGCGTTGCATTTTTCTAAAAACTCTATAAAAAACATCGTTGTGGCTTCCTCCTTCTCTCGGTTGTTGGTGCCTTGTTCGCTGTATTCAATCGTGAACAGATCAAATACATTGTCAGCGTTAAAATGTTCCAACATAGGACTGCCGATTATACTCCGTATGCAATCTAGGATGGTAAAAGAAATCAATTACGGTTTGTATTAATAGGAGTACATATGTTGTTCAGCTCCATACAATCTGTATAAAGCGACATAATAATTTAAATAGAAAATTTGTAAAAAAAAAGAAAAAGGATAAATTTCTTAATCAGGAATCAAACCTTAAAGTTTGATAAAATATTAAAGAAATCGATTAACCGAGCAGCTAAAGCAGGCACACCGTTACCACACAGCCAACTCGCCTTTGGTTCTAAAGTTGTGGAACAAATCTTCTCAGATAAGCTGGACCGCCGGCAGCAGCCGCAGGCACTGTGGTACCGTATTTTTCGCTTCTCGGACCCATTGACGAGGGTCTAGGGCCGGCTAAAGTTCCAGAGGGATCGAGGAGCAGATCATGGGTTCCCCTCCCTCAAAGTTACGGCCTCAGACGGATGACTAACTTAATGGAATATAGAGTGTCTACACTAGGACATGTAAATTAAATTATAGAAACATGAAAGGTTAAAAGATATCCTTCCTTTTATGAAAACATGCTGAAAATATTCGTCTTTCAGGATGATGACAGTCAGTATTATAGTAATGTTGAAAGTTGGCATTGATTTGAAGTTCTAAACTAATATTTGTGTTGCACGACGATTGTTTATATATTGTTTCGCCATACATGACAGTAGTACAGTATAACTAAAATGAATAACATCAATTTCGGAAAAAAAAAAAAAAAAAAAAAAAAAAAAAAATAGCTAGGAACTTACCCGGATAAGACTTTGAATAGTCTCCCATGCCATAAAACTGCATTCCCTTAACAAGAGAAGTAATGGCTGCCTGTTGATGAAAGAGTACATAATGTTGACAAGCCGCTGACACGAAAGACGGTCTGTTGAGCTGTGTCAGCTCCTTTCGCCAGCCGATTTCTTCGGCCACATCTTGGAATATCGGTTCCGATGTTGTATCAATTCCATTCATTACCTGTAAAGCAACGAAGCATAATGTGAACTTTATACGCACAATCATTTTTTAAATTCGAAAGGAACAATCGAGGGTGGATCTAGAAATGTTCAAAAGGGAGGGGGCAGAAAATTGGGCCGATTGAGACAACACTGTCGTAGGGGGTCCGGGGGCATGCCCCCACGAAATATTTGTGTTTTAGACGCCCGAACATAACATTTTAGGCATTCTGGCCTATCACTTTTTTTCTTCTTCTCTCTTTTTTTTTCTTTTCTTTTCTTTTTTTTTACTTCCAAAATGTGGGGGGGGGGACAGGGTCGGACTGCCCCCCCCCCCCACTAAATCCGCCCCTGACAATTTAAGACATAATTAATTCTAAAAACTTAACTATAAATTAGGTATGTGGGTTACGCCTCCACTTGTGTTAAATAAAGTTAATAACAAACATTTGATGAAAACGTGTCCCCATCGAGATACGAACCCAAGGCCTTCCAGTTACAGTTTTTCTCGACCAACCGAGTTACTAGGCCAAATATTATTCACCCTTGGGTTTTCCATTAGGAACCAATTTGTTAACCTGGACAATCTCCAAAGTGACTTGCATGTGATTTACCCCGTTTTCGCAAATATCTGTTAGGCTTATTGCCTTTATTGAAAAATTGGTATCTCACCCACCACAAGCAACGCTTTACATGCGGGACCCTTTAAGATAAAAATTTTAAAAACAAGAAGAAAAATAAACGGTGATGGATGAAAATGTTTTTGAGTACCGTACATAACAGATAGTTTTATATTATTGTGGGAAGACCTGAATATATACAGCTTGCGTACCTTCTGCACACACTCTCTTTTCTCTACATTGGGAATCATGTTGACAGACAATTTAGGCTTCTCGTCTATCAGAAGCTCCGCAATTACTGGGTTCAGGAATTGCAATGAATGACCACCGTGTAAGACAGCTGCAGCCAAAATCCTTCCGATGGTTTCAATGGTGCCATCTCCAACCAAGCAGGCACTTTGTAGGGGGAGCATAAATCCTGAATGGAGAAATTAGCACAGATATTTTAAAATGTGACTTGTTTAATAGTAGGATCCGTGAAAAGCGTGTGTATCTACGACAAGGGGTTTAAGATGATAGACAGGCCCTTATAGATGTGTATAAGAGACAGGATTCATGTTGTACAAAATAAAGGTAGATTACAGAAAATGAACACTATTTTATGTACTATCCAACGCGTAAGAATAGCACACAGGCTTTCTGATTCTCGGGTCGGATTAGTGGGCTCTGAGATTCAACTTAAAGAATAATGTACGGCCAAATGCTTTGCACTAGATGGTTAACAATCGATTTCTTTTTATATTCGGTTTACTGAAACTACAATACAGTATTGAAGATAATAATAATTGATTTATTAATTTTAATAAAAAAAGACGATTTAAAAAAAAAAAGGGTTTGATGTTCTATATCCAAGACAAAGTTGAAACATATTCAAGTTTAAAAAAATTAATTAAAACAAGTTATATTACACAACACCAAACCCAAAGCTGTTTCTAATGGCATATACCATTAACGATGAGAACTCGTCTGCGGTCGTGTGCCCCCTGGGTAGCACAATACTAAAAGCACAAGTGGATGCGACAGGAAGCATGTCATCCGAAAACGTGATTTTCGGTTGGACGTGATAGCCTCCTAGTACCGGACGTCTTGAACCCGTGAAGAATTCAAGAAAATCGCCTAGTGAGAGACCGTCAACATCAGCATCTGAAAAAAAGAGTTATGAAAAGTAGAAACTAAAGTATAGATATACTGGCTTGTCAAAAAATATGGCGATAACTGAATAAGATATGTGTTAAAAGATGTAATTATTAAATTTAAAAATACGTACAGACCTAAAGTGTAACATCGACAATCGTGTTCCCTATATATTACGGGAGGGAAAAAAGGAGTGGGCGTAGGGCTTCGCATGACCGGCCTGTTTTCAACTTTTCTGATGACAATTTCTTAACAAATTTGGTATTTCTTAACAATGTAAGAACTTAAGACAACCTACCATTAGCGTTGCATTTTTCTAAAAACCTGTCTCTTATACACATCTAGATGTGTATAAGAGACAGCTTCAGACTGGTTTGTTGTAGCTTTAACATATAGCTTGTGTTTACATATTTACATATTTTTACTCAGCCTCAATTTCATATTTTTACATTATCACAACGCACATACCTCACTGTGGAATTTCTTAAATAAACCTGAAGCTATTTTCTACACAAATGGATTCATGTTGTACAAAATAAAGGTAGATTACAGAAAATGAACACTA